ATATATATAAGTGCGGCGAAAATGTGTTTCCTTTTCATTGTCATTATGTGTTCAAAATGCATTTATTTAAAATAAAATTATTTGCAGAATAGAAAAGCTTGCCTTTGCACAATGTTATATAGGCTGCAATGTGATTTGGAGAACTACTAGTTCTCACTAATAAAAAAGAGAAAACAAACTGCAAAGGATTCATTAAAGTAGAGCCTATTTTAATATTTTAATGAGGACAATAACATTGAATAACAGTTTTAAAAATTGTTCTGCTCAAAATAAATGTATAGCAAATTATAAGTTACCAAGTATAAATGAATAAACATCAACAATAAACCCATCTTTGCAATCAGTTATCAGACTTTTTAATCATTTGTAGGCAGACCTCTCAGTTATCAGGCTCTTTTATGAAACTAATTTCCAATCTTTTTATTGTGACGCCTCACGGGCAATAAACTTTTGTAACTTTTTTGTAAAAACTTATGTAATATTGTTGTCAAGTGGAAATGATTTACGTTTTGCATCAATTTTGCTGTATTTAGATGTGTAGTTTTCACTGGGTCAAATAAAGAGCATAGAATCTTTTAAAAAAATCATGTTTTTTTTTTCTCAGTCGTAATTTAATGTCTTCTTCAGAGACTTGTTTAGCACTGTTATAACTTTAGTTTTAAAATACTTTTAATGCATTTATATGTGATGTTAGTGGTACCTAAAATGTATTTTTCAGCTTTAAATAATGCCTCGACTGGTCAAACAGATGTTGGATGCTGATTACATATTTTATTTTTATTGTTAAAAAATACATTTGTACGATGGAGTATTAGGGCAACACAGCAAGATTTTTTTTTATAATTATTATGAGATTAAAATCATAATTTTACGAGAATAAAGTCATAATATTACAAGATTAAAGTCGTAATATTACGAGAAAAATGTCATAATCATGACATGTCTATTTCCTGTTCCTCATTTCCTCCTTATTTTCCCCACACCTGCTGTGTGCAGCCATGTCTCTGTGTTTATAAAGTAGCTGATGATGATTCGGGTACTGTTGGATTAATTTGCTTTCATCCAAATCAAATTTGTGACGACTAAATCCGCCAATGCATCTATTAATTACAGTACAATACAGCTTTGGTTTATAGTCGTTTGCATAATATCTAAGTCCTGCTACTGATAATTTGATGCTAATATGCTAAAAGATAAACTATTTATTTATAGCAATACTAAAGAACAACTTGGGTGAGTGTATCTTTTGGTCATTGGATTTTCATTTTAGAAACGGGTATTGAAAAACAAGAAACAAGTGGTTATTTGATTATTGTTTTAAAATATAGAAACTAAAATTAAAATACAAAGCGTTTTTCATTCTTCGTGTCAAAAATGGATGAACAAAAATTTTAAAATGTTTGAGTTTCATCTTCTGTTTCAAATAGCAAAAAAAGAAAATTACTTTAAAACAGAAATGGAAAAAGCCTTGTTTGTTCTTATTTCATGACAGGTCGTGGCCGCTTACTGGATCCCTACAATAAACTGTTTTTCACCTGAAGGGGTGCATGCAATATCAAAGTTATTTAATGAACATTCCATTACATAGACATAGATGGTTACCTCATATATTGACTAAATCAAAGCACTTTCCAGTTCTGCGTCTGACACAGATCTTTTTCTCTTCAGATCATGCCGAGCACAAAATCTTCTGACGCTCATTTCCGAGCGTTGCAGGACACATATCTGCTGCAATGAAAACAAAGTCAACATAGATGTTGACTTTGGTATCAAATATATTTGCCACGTATTTATTTGGTAACAGATCAATATCAAGGTTATAGTACCGCCCACCCCTCACTTAAAGGAACACTTCGAGGACAAGAACTGACAGAAAAAAGCACAGATTTTGTCAAAACTCAGGAGGGAAAAAACATTCTGCTCACAGAACAACAATCGTACAACACAGAAATGGAATGAAATGTTTTGCTTTTTATTGAGAGAAATGGAGGTGAAGTGGAGGCAGTGGCCGACATGTATTCAGTAAAAGAGACTTATTTGGCAAAAAACCACATAAATTATCTCTGCAGCCTTTGGTCACAGAGCGACAGTCATACAACTCATTTATGGACATACTTCTCTGTGTTTCAGCCTTTTATTCACAGAAATTAGTGTTTCATTACGCAGAGTTGTCAGGCGAGCGCCACTTCTGGTGGGGGAATAGATAGTGGTAGAATACAAACAAACGAGCCTTTTTTCGTTTCTGTCCTAAATTAATTTTCTTTTTTGCTATCCGAAACAGAAAATGAAACTCAAATCATTTTTAAAATTTCGTTTATCCTTTTTTGACACTAAGAATGAGACACGCTTTGTATTTTAATTTTAATTTCAGTATTTTAAAACAAAAATCAAATAACCACTCGTTTCTTGTTTTTTAATACCCATTTCTAAAATGAAAATCCAATGACCAAAAGATACACTGACCAACTTGACAAGTTGTTCAACATTCCTCATTTTAATGCAGTGGTAACTGCATGCTTTTTTGTGTAAAGGCAATATTATGACTTTAATCTCGTAATTTTATGACTTTAATCTCGTAATTTTATGACTTTAATCTTGTAATATTACGACTTTAATCTTGTAATATTACGACTTTATTCTCATAATATTATGACTTTATTTGTGTACGACTTCAATGTAATATAATGACTTTATTCTCATAATTAAATTTTATTGTATGCCTGTGTGGATGTACATGTAGGCGCCCAGTGTCAGCCTCATTTGCAGACCGTTGTTTGCCGTCTGGACCTTTTGGTTCTACTGTACACAATGAAGATTTTTGCTGGAAGCCAGCTTGTCAGCTGGAATGTTTTCGCGCAGGAACAGCCTCGAGCCTGAATAGAAACAACCTAACCATCTTGGTCTTTACATTGTGTTAGCCACAGTATAACATTTCTAGCTAAATGACCTTTTAGAGAGAAACATGACCTTTAAAATAAGATGCGTTCCCCAAGGCTTTTATAGTGTGGGTGCAACCAAGAGATGTTCTGCAAAAGTTTGAACATGTTGCTTTTACTTGGAAATATGTATAAGGCTATAAGAGAGTGCTCCACCTACACATGTGACTTCACTGGAATATCTGAAGGCGTAAGACAGTGGTTTTTATCAGAAACAACATCACATTTCTCTGATTTATTTATTCCTTATGTGTTTTTGGCAGCACATTTGACAGGACATGACAACATCAGTAGAGTAGATGGGAAACCTTTGCACAACAAGCATCACTTTCCGCCGGCACCGAGATCACAGCCAGTTACCAGCAGCTGAAGCCAAAGCCTGAACTGTTGGTAAATCTCTCCAGCAGAAATCCACATGATCACCTACCTATGTGTCACAGTTTTACCTGTTGTATCTAAACTTAACAGAGGGGATTAAATCACACAAGTTTTATGGGCAGAGAGTCAGCAATGTCACAGATCTCTGCTACACCCAAGAGCCTCAGTAGTTAGAAAAAAACACCTGAAAGCACAGTGTATTTTTTTCTCTTCAAGGCTTTGCGTGTTTTAAGAAGTTGATCTGAGAAAGGAAACTCCTAGTCATTTTTGTCTTCTGTTTCTGCAGAGAAAAAAGTGGTAAAAGTTATTGTTTAAAAATTAGGGAAAAATGGTAAAAGTTTCCAATAGTTTTAAACAATATCTGCTCAACGAAAGGGATAACATCGGCTTAGGAGTTCTGTCTTAATCGCTTTGAAGCTATGTGTGAAACCTAACAAACAGGTCATTTCAAACTAACACTGACTGTCCATTACCAAAGTGGCAGTTCCAAGATTTTTCTGAGTAAGGGGCCGCGATTTTCATAGAGGGGCCAAGTATTATTTGTTCAGCATCCTTGCATTTAAATCCCTGGTTTTGGTAAGGTGTACCCATTTTGCCAGTAAAATGTTCAAACATTTGTATTGTTATGTAATTAAAAAAAGCTTCAACAGTAAATTATCCTTAGCAATTTTGCATGTATTTTTACTGTACGTAGATAAAAATGCTCTTAAACACACAGCATATGAGAAAATACGGCCATCATTTGTCAGTTGAAATATTTTTTCTGCAAGAATGTTCAGATTTTCCAAAGAAGAGAAGAAATCTGCAAGATTGATTCATGCTGGACTTCCTTATTTGACTCATTAGCACCACTAGTGTTTGGACATGGAACTGCACACACCATTACCAATCTCAGGCAAAGGCACTTCAGGGGGGCCAATCAGATTTCAACTGGGGCCAATGCCCCTGTGGCCCCACCTCTACAACCTCGCCTGCATTACAATGCTTTTGTTTTTTATGCCTCTTGCTCGTGTGTTATGAATCTAAGGAGAAGTAATTCGTGTATTTTTTTAAATTCAAAATACCATCATTTTGCAGTTTGGCCCAGTCTTTTAGTGGCTCTGTAAACAGAACAAAAAATGATGCTGCTTAGGTTTCAGGATGTTGGTTCTCACAGTTTCACTAGAACTTATGTATTTGCAAAAAACTAGTTAAAAGTTTTAGTCTTTAAAATACAGTATTTATGCTTTAGATCTTGTGATTGTCGGAAAACATACTGAACTTTAAACAATAAAAAACAATATACATATTTCAGGTTATTTTACGTTTTAAACATCGTGCAGCATAATAAGAGCTTATTCTTTTTCTCCACTGGGTCACGTTTTGAATGTTGTTGTCTCTGTTGGTTTCTTAGCTACCGTCGCACCACCTGATCTGCTCAGGTGTAACGCTAGAGCGAGTGTCGGGGAGACTAATGCAGGATCTGCTTCACTAATGGACTAAACTATTGTTCAGCCTATGAATCCTTTCTTTTTTTTTTTACATCACAACAGTCGTAACAAAAAGAACATATCAAGAATGTCACTTGGGCGAAAGGTTCGCTCTTCTTCAGCTTCAGGGAGATTAGAAACCAGGTATTCTTCTGTTTTGTGCTCATATTATGAAATATATATAATCAGAATGATAATACTATTTTGTCCAATTCAACTGCGATAGTTTTCAGTTCAAATATGTTACTGTAAATGTGAGCCTTGCTTTGCTTTTATCAGCTGTTATGATGCTGAAGCAGGAAGTCTGGTAACTTGGGTATTATAATTAGGTCTCTAAGATTAAAGGCCTAACATTCCTTGAAGGAATGCCTGTTTGGTTGCCTTTCATTACTGTTAAACCAAGATGAACTTATGATGAGAAATTAGTGTGTTTTGGTCAAATCTTTTAAACGGCATTATGTTCAATCTTGAGATATTGTAATATCGGATCGCTCTCAGACTATGACTGACTCTCAGCCTCTTCTACAACAAATTATAGCTCAGTGTCTAAGTGATAGCCATTTTTGTGTTTAGAGTCGTTTGAGTGTGAGGGCATTTTGAATTGGGTTAATTTAAAACAAATAGTCATCTGTAGATGTGTATTCAGTGCTTGCTTTTTTTAACTTTTTAGAAAACTCTGTCCAGCTCATATAGGACATTTTTCTAACACAACAGACCTACAAACATGCAGCAACGAAAATAAAATGTTCCTACAGTGCTGCTGACTGCTCTTATGAGTTTCCTCCATCTGATTTACATCGGAATCACAGCATTACTCAGATATATCTATGAACAAGTCTTTGTTTGAAATGCCAAATCCTGCAGCATTGTCTATGAACTGGGAGGTGCAACCTGGAAGACCCCCAAACCAGGAGGCCAAGCTGACTGCCCAGACTCTCGACGTTTAGGTGTTGGTGATGAACAGCGGGACTGGTCGCTACGAGACCTGCTGAAACAGAACAAACGGAGACACTCAGTCACATGTGGAGAAAAACTGCAGCCCAGAGTTCATTCACGCAACAACCTCGAGGTACAGTTTTCAGATTTTTTATCCATAATTGGAGGGAAATTAGCATAAGTAAAACAACCACCTAAAATATAAATGTAAAAGCAAAAAGCATCTTAATAATTGACTTTATTCACTCATTTGCTAAAACTACAGTTGCAGCCTGTATCCTGAGGGTGTCAGTAGTATGCTACAATGCTTAAATTGACTGCTGAAACTCGGCTACCAGTAGCAAAACGAATGTAATGTCATGCAAAAATGCCAAATTGAATAAAGTCTGATGAACAGTTTCCACACAGTCTGACAGTACATCAGGCAAGACCATCCCTCCCAGAGCCAGAGAGCTTAAAGCCAAAGTAAAACAAACACAGTTCCTGAGCCAGATACTTAAAAAGGTCTCCAGTAGATTCGATTTTGAGCTTTCAAGCTGACGCGAGCGGCAGAATAATGTAGGAGGCTGTGTTGCAAATGCACCGGCTCAAGTTTCTGGGTTTTGCGTGCAGATGTCAGTCACACCGCTCTGCTTAATGTAAGGAGCAATGAGCCAGAACAGATTAGCAGGAGGAGGCTCAGGAGTTCAAAGTTGGGCATCCCTTCCAAAAGGGATTTGGAAAGCAGCTGAGGTTAGATGAGCACTTTCACTCACCTTTTTTTCCCTTCACTTTGATTTAACAGTTATCTTACCAATTCAGAAACTACCATGGGGAAACTTCAACTTTAGTTACATCCTTGAGGAATTAAGCTGTTTATCCCTGTTATTTATTAATGGTAGATCAAAGAGCTTCATAGATGAAGGACTGGTTGCTAAGAAACAACTAAAAAAAGTTAACACAGAGAAAATGGATTTAATATTACAGAAAAGTTAAACACAAAAGGTGATTTTACTGATTTAGTGTCAATGATGTCACAAGAATTTATTGTTTTATCTTCTTTCCAACCCTAATCTTTTATTCTTAGCCCTCAGATGTTATGAAATTCCTGGTGAGTCGATTTGAGTCAGCCGAAAAAGTGAAATAAATTTCTGTTTAAAAAAAGATTTATTTTGTGTGCTTTGTTTCTTAAATTCAATTCTACAATCATTGTGAAAGCAAATCTAAGCACCCCCCTTCTCTTTTAGATCGATGACAAGGTATCACTGAACAACCTTGAGAAAATGAAGTTAGCTTTTGAGGTATTGAGGAAACTTTAACACAGACTTATTCAGTTGTAGCTGTACGACGGAGTATTAGGGCCGCACAACGAGATATTTTTAACTTTTTTTTAATTATGAGAATAAAGTCATAATATTACGACATTAAAGTTGTATAAAAATAAAGTCAATATTATGAGAATAAAGTCTTGATATTACGAGATTAATGTCAAAATATAATGAGAAAAAAGTTATAATATTCTAGCCTTTACACGAAAAAGCATGCAGTTACTGCATTAAAATAAGGAATGGAAAATGGTAAATGGAAAAATGGACTGAACTTATATAGCGCTTTATCAAGTCCCTCTGGACCCCAAAGCGCTTTACACTTACAGACATTCACCTGTGCACACACATTCACGCACTGATGGTGGTAAGCTACATTGTAGCCACAGCAGCCCTGGAGCACACTGACAGAGGCGTTGAGCGACTTGTCAAGTTGTTCTTTAGTATTGCTATAAATAAATAGTTAATCTTTTAGCATATTCGCATCAAATTATCTGTATCAGGACTTGTAAATTGTGCAAACGACTATAAACCGAAGCCGTATTGTAATGAATGGATGCATTGACAGATTTAGTCGTCACGTAGCTAATTTGGATGAAAGCATATTAATCTAACAGTGACCCAGGTTATTGCGGACTACTTTATAAACACAGACACTTGGCTGTACACAGAAGGTGTGGGGAAAATAAGGAGGAAATGAGGAACGGGAAATAGACACTTCATGTAAGATTATGATTTTTCTTGTAATATTATGACTTTAATCTCATAAAATTACGACTTCTCGTAATAATAATTAAAAAAAACTCTTGTGTGGCCCTAATACTCCATCATAATAGCTGAGATTTGACCATATTATTATTTTTTCTTTGTTTAAAGGAAATTGAAGTGTGTGGTATGAGAGGCATTGATGTGAAGAACTTTGGACAAATATTGAAAACGTGTTTGGGTTTGCCCAACATGGTAAGATCTCTTCTTGTATCACCATTTTTTGTCATTATGAGAAAGTCTTTACAAATAGTATTTTTTTAAAACACTGTTGTCCCTTTTTATTTTGCTCCTTGGTTTTTATCAGATCAGTGCCCAGGTTCAAGGGTTGTTTGACAAGATTGATTACTCAGCTCAAGGGAGGATTTCATGGGTGAGATGACATTCATACTTTATTTATATGTTTTTGATGCTTGACAACACAAAGAAACTGTAGTTAAAAGGTTGGGCTCCGGGACATGCAACAAGGTTATTCTGACAACTATAATTCAGTCAAGATTTATGGGATACGTGTAACTGAACACGATTTCCACACGGTGTCGTTCAGAATATTTTATCCTTTATAGCTTGAGTTGAATGTACACAGTTTTTAGAAATGATTAACACTTGTTAGACTGAAAGAAATTCTCTTGCTTGTTAGATGTTTTATTGTGGGTTTTATGGTTTAGGATGCAGAAAAAATGTGCTGCAGTCAGTACACTTACACTGTAAAAACATCATTAGCGAGTTTGTTAAAGAATGTTATTATTAATTTGTAAATTGTGTATTATTATAACTAAAATAAGGCAATTTGAAAGTAAGGAAATTTGTATTTGGTAGATTATTTCTTTGTTGTAACCAGGGGTATATAGTAACTAAGTACATTTACTTCGTTACAGAATGAATGAATGATTTTATGAATGAATGAATGAATGAATGAATGAATGAATGAATGAATGTATGAATGAATGAATGAATGATTTTATTTGTTCAGGACAGTGTGCAATTAAAACACAATTTGACGCATTGCACCAGATATAGCCTAATTTACATTGGTAGTCCCATCAAATCTTAAGTAATTTTTTGAGGAATTTGTAATTTTACAAAGTATTTTTTAAACTGTTACATTTACTTTTATTTTGTTACGTTTAAAACCTGAAAAATTATACTCTTACTTCTTTTCTTTAAACTGTAACACCTAGTTACTCGTTACAAAAGGAGTGGTTTATGCACTCTAAAAAAGTTAAGTGTTGATTTTACTCCACCAAACTGGTTCCACTAAACCTAGTAGAGTAAATATGAAGCAATGTATGTATTTTCTTGCTCAATTTACTGCATTCAACAGTTTATTGCTTAAAGAGTGAGCAAAAGTTCTTTCTTGATTTTTGTGAACAGTTTGACTTTTGCTTAGTTTTCTCATCAGTGAAATATTTTTTTTTTACCAAAGTAATTTTCTGTTAAGGTATTTTTACTTTTACCTAATTATTTTTTCAAGTACTTTATAGACCTCTGGTTGTAACAATACTTCTTGTCAAAAAATCTTATACCATTGAAAAGCCTGGTAGTTTACCTTTTAAATGGTGCCACATTTGCAAGGAACATGCATTTGTGGAATGAGCAGTAGAGCTGAGCTGCACATGACAAATTTGCCAAATCTCTGACAAACAGCTTCTTTTGCTGTTGTTATTGACACTTGTTTTAAGTTTCTGGTACCCTCAGTTGCTGCCAATCAGGTGACCGCTATAAGATTTATTGCCAAGAAGCATCGTTCCAACAAAGAAATAATCCACCAAACACAAATGTCCTTACTTTTTGTGATAAGTATGTAATGGCAGTTCCTTGGTAACAAACATGAAGCGCGGCCGAACTGAAAACCGACGTTTCTATCGGGCCCTGATGTGATGCAGGGGGAGTTCTCCTCATACGTCCTCCACCAGCATAAAGAGAAGGAGGAAACACTGAGCCTCAGCAAGCGGGTGGTCTTTAATTTGCCAGCCATCGTCAGTAATCACAAACAGGGAGTTCCTGTTAACATCCACTCCACCAGTGATGACACCTTGGTAACGGTACAAGAAGACGGGCTTATTTGTCTTTGGCATCCCGAACTGGAACCCAAGAAAACCAAACACATGTTTGTATGTTCAAACATCTTATGTACCTTTTTTTTTACCTATTCTGTTTGAACTCGAATTTATTTGCTTCAATAGGGTGAGGACCCTGCTAATCGAAGGTCCAGATGGGTTAGTGATTTCACCCTGATGTCAGAGCACAACAAGCTGGTAATTGGAACAGGGTAATGACTTCTAATTGTATCTACAGAGCACTCATTTCTGTCATTAACAAGGGCCCTCAGTCTGCTGTGGGCATATTTATTGTACTTGAATTAATTATTCTTCAGGGACCGAGAGATTCAAATTTATGATCTGTTTGCTCTTGAGCCTTACTGTCAGATTAATGGCCTGAACACAATTCCTCTGACTTTGCACTGCAGGTGAGCTACAGAATTGCAGAATTTTAGAAAACTGCTCCCTTTTCATAACAAATTGTGTGTGTTTTTCTTTTAAAATGCAGCTACACAGGCCCTGATAAATGCTGTCTTCTGTTTGGAGACGATCAGGTATAAGTCCTTTTATAAAAATAAATATTATATTCAAAGAGCTCATATCACTATTGTGTTTGTTTCAGGGATGTGTGAACATCATTTTAATGTCCTCTGTTGAAGATACCCTCAGGTAATGCAGGTTTTCTAATGAACTCCTGATCTTGCTATTCATTGTATTGTTTAATTTGCCATCACATAATAGTGATTTCTGTTATTTTTATATATAAGCATAAGAAAATACAGCAGCAGTATTAAAATAAATTCTAAAAACATCATTATTTTATGGTTAACTTTTGGTAGTTTTCACTTACATCTTACGTTACATTCATGTCTGGTCAAAGATCACTTGATAGTGAAATATAGAATTACAGTAAGTTTGATGATATACTTTAGATGAAAGAAAGAAACAGAAAATACTACGAATATAAAATAAACAACTTTGTATTTCTACAATAAAAAAGTTATTTTGACCAACCTCTTCCCAGTTAAGTGTCATGATTCACTCAGTTAATCCTCAGTGCATTTGTAGTTTTCTAATTTTGAAAAATATAAATAATTTAAATAGTTAAAAAACCTTTTTAAGTCAAATATCAAGTTTTAACTATTAATTCTAAGGCTTGATCGGATTTAAAACATTTGTAAAAACATACAAAAGTAGTTTTTTCTAAGCTTTTGAGAAAATAGCATCAGCTAAAATGAGCCTCTTTTGACTCAAGGTTAGCAAGAAATTAGTTTCATAAAAAAAGAGGAAAAAAAACGATCCAAAAATCAAAAAGCAGAGGTTCAGTAAAGCTGAAAACAACTTCACCATGTCAACACAAAGCTGTGTTGGAAAATTATACCTTAGTTTACCTGCACTTCCCTACAATCAAAGAAATATTGTTTAAGTTGTGTCTCATGTGATGATCTCTATCCCAAACCCGACTGAACAACATTTCTCGCTTTTCAGAAAATGGAGTAAATTACCAAAGCTTGAAAACATGCCTAACATCACAATGGAGAATGCTGTACGTTCTCCACATGTGACGTTCATCAGATGGAAGGTTCACCAGGACTGGGTGACACAGGTGACCTTTTCTCTCTTCAGGTTCACTTTACCATAAAAAACACACAACTCCAACAGACAAATTCCAAGTCAAGATTAAATTGTATCACAAATGACATGGGATTTGGTTCTGACATTAACAAAACTATAAATCTGGGTTTGGTTGTAGACTGAGAAACATTGAATGTATTTTATTAAAATGAGTCTGTGCAAAATCGTGGTCGACATTTTCCATGTACATTATTCTCTTATACAAACCTTTTTTCTTCTTCTTCTTCTAAACACAGGCAAAATATTTTCACAGTGTCCGAGCTGTTGTGTCTTCATCCAATGAAGAATCTTCTTCTCTTGTTGTAGGTAATTTCTGTTCATACTGACCTGTGGGCATTTTGAGTTTTTGCTGAAAAGCATCAAAGTAAGATTATTATGTTTTTGACACTTGGAGTTAAAAAGCACAGTGCACACTCAGCTTCCTGTCCTACACCCAGTCTTTGGAAGGAGTTAGACAAATAATGACGCATCTTGAAAATGTTAAAAAAAGAAAAGAAAAATACGACCTTTTTTCAAGCTGCAGTAATTAAACTCGGTGTGAAGCATTAGATACCCTGGTTTTAGAGCTGTGAGCGATGACTCATGATTACTCATCCATCACAAATTCACTGATCGATTCCAGCGTGCGTGTGTGTGTGTGTGTGTGTGTGTGTGTTCCTGTGTTTGTGTGGGGCGGAGGGGGACACCTTGCATGTTTACTTGCAGGCTCGGTCATTTATTCCGATAATGACTTAGCCTTCCTCCAAAAGCACATTTGATTGATGCTCCTAGCTCCAATGTAACACTTTTATTTATTTTTTTCCCCTCCTGAGGCTGTGCGCTGCCGTTAACAGACTCTGAACAGCAGCTGAATGAGATCAGGGAGGTCTGCTGCGAGGGCAAAACCAGGAAGATCCAACTGAGCTGGACTCCACAGGTCCGTGCGCCCCACGAACAGACGGTCTTCTCCGTCCATAAAGGTGTGAAGACCTTTGACTTTTGTCAGAAGCTCAATTTGCTGGTGACTGGAGGCATGGACAGGCTTATACGCTTGTGGAACCCCCATTTTTCAGGGTGAGGAATCAAACTTTTGTGTCCTTGGAAGAAAAAAAATAAACACCTACTTTCGCTCCTGATTCAGATTTATTATTTTTTTCTTTAGGAAGCCAACTGGTATTTTGGAAAGCCACTATGCTCCCATCTTCTCCCTCTGCATCTCATCAGAGGACAGTTGGATCTTTTCTCTCTCTGTTGATGCTACTGTAAAAGTGATTTGTGACCCTTTTTATGCATCACCACATTCAAGTTAAATTATTTTTTTACAGACTGAAATACAGACATTATTATCATTATGCCCTGCTAAAAAAGGCAAAGGTGGGCGATAATGTTTATGCTCAGGACTGTGTGTATTCATATGTCTATTTGCTTCCTAAATATCTCATCACCCATAGATGGGTTTTAATATAACTTGCAGAAAAAAAATATTTTTTTCTTTTATATCTATTTAGTCTGAACAAACTAGTAGAATTGTTTAAATTCAGTCATTTTTCGAGAAACTGACTTTTGCACAAGATCTTCATTTCAAACTTTTCCATGAGTCAAATTTCTTTATCTATCAGCAAAAAATGTCTATACCTGCTCTAATTTCAGATTTTTCACATGAAGGATCAGTGTTGCCTGTTTACAGCAGAGCCCAGAGCCAGCTGCATCCACGGTGAAATATCTGCATGCTCCTACAACCCTGCTATAAAATGTCTGTATGTTGCAGCAGACAGGATGGCTGTCCTCACCCTGAAATCCAGGTTGCTGTTTTTTTTTCTTGCCGTAATGCTAAATGACATACTATCAAGCTTTTTGAACAGCTTTTTGGAAGAAAACTTGCTTAAAGGGGATTATTTGTGAAAATACAAAAGAAAAAAAATCTGGCACAGCTGATAATTTTAAAGGCTTTCTGTTTAGAAGTCTGACACTGCAGTATCTAAAAAAAGTTTCAGGAAATTTTCTTGACTAACGTTCCTCAAATATAGCTGCAGCTTTTTAATATAAATATTACTTCATTGATTGTATGATTTTTTTTCTCTGTCAGGCCACAGCTGAGCAGACACATAAACGTTTCTCATAATGAGCCTGTAACGTGTTGTGGTTACAGTGAAGAGTTTCGTCAGGTTGTGAGCTGCAGCGAGGGTTCTGTAAGTAAAATAAGTGCTTGACGGCAACTTGAATATGTCAGCATTAGAACTAGTTTAATTTGTTTAAAAACGTGTTTTAAGGTGGTGAAAGTCTGGGATTTTACCTCTGGACGGCAGGTTTTTGAGTTTGTTGGCAAAGATGAGCTGACCTCCATCACATGCATGGCATTTGACCCAAAAGGAAGGAGGTAACATTTATAATGTAGCTTCATCTTTCAAAAACTGTATTTGGCTTGTATTATATTTAGCCCACTTTCAGAGTGTTAAAATTTTTCCACTAACATTTTATTGTTATTTAGCTAACTTTTCTTAAATTTAGCTAATTTTACTAAATGTTTATTGTAAGTTTAAACATTAAGATTTAGAATTTAATCTCTAAATATATTTTTAACGTTTAAATTTAAGATAAGAAAAGAAAAGATAAGATAAGATAAGATAAGATAAGATAAGATAAAACTTTATTGTCATTGTACAGAGCACAATGAAATTACAGTTCAGAACACCCATTCAGAAGAAGACAGAACATAACAAACATCGGAGAACAGGTGCTCTGGGTGATGCAGCCACTGACCCTTCACAGAGCAAGGATCATCATCATGAAGACATCATGAGGAGGTGCAACCCTTAAAAGAAAAACTAAAAACCACACAAAGGAAGATGAGGGGGAAAATATCATATTATATCAACACTGTGACACACTATGGTGTTCATAAAAAACCTCTGCATAGAACACATTTATTAGCCAGAGAAGTAAGTGAGTTTAGGGGGGCATGTATCTGAAGCCATGAGTGTTGTATGCACTTGTGTGAAAATCTGAAAAATGAGCCCGAAGAATCCAGTCCCCAAAACCCATGCAGCCATAGTCCAGAATGTGGATGTTAAGTGTTCATTCTGTGCGGTCCTCAGCTTGCTCCAGGAACCAGATCATAGATGGGTGTGGGGGTGGGTAGGGGGAGACCCTCAGTCAATGTATACATCCAGGAAGAATTTAGTCCACAGCTCAAGGCCGTTGTAGGAGAGCCAAATTCTGTAATCACTTATTTGGGAACAGAAGAAAATGTTTTGAGCCAGTCAGACAATAACAATTTTCCATCTGCCTTCATGTCCGCTGGTACCTCTCAATGTGGTAAATCCAACCAGACAAATAATGTGGACAAATTCTGCTGAGCCGTACTATCAGTTTTCTCCAAGATCAATTCCATCTGGCCAGCAAAGTCCAGAAACCACAGCCGGCCCGCCACCCTTAGCAGAACCGCTTGCAGACTGAGTCCAGCTCGCTCAAGGCAAAAGTCTGAGTGCTGATAGAACGGCAATCCTTCATATTGGTCAGGCAGCCAGGAAATGAACAGCCACCGACGCTGTTTGTAGAACACCAGGAGACCACCAAGTCAATCTGTAGAATCCAGTGATCAGAATCCAATATATATCCAGAACAGAGCAGAACAGAGGTCCCACCTTTGACATGTCGTCCCATGGAAGAAAAAACTTAATTAAAAAAATTTATTAAGAGACCAGCTAACCAAATCCAAAAAAATAAAAATATCCATAATTTCTGGTTTTGGATGAAAATGTGGTGAAGACTCCGAGTAGCAAAGCAGGGAAGATAAGGAAGGGCAGGAGAGAAGGAAAAAGCGTCTTGCTCCTCCAAGAGCGGAAAAAAAAACATTCAGTAAAAATTATCTAAATGCAAGAACAGTGAGCTAAATAAAAATAAAATGTTAGTGGAAACTTTTTTAACATTAAAAAGTGAGATAAATAATGAAAAAGAAGGTACTGAAATTTTTCAACATTTCATTTTACACTTGGTGCCCCGTACATAGTGAATGTTTGTGTTTGTAGACTTGTTACAGGTGGAAGAAACGGATGCTTAAAGATTTGGAACTTTAACAGTGGTCAGTGCTTAAAGACTTTAGAAAAAGGTAGATTTTGATAAATTTTATCTTTTAAAAAATGTCATTTATATTCTGACATGAAGTGTGAAAAATATATTTGAAACTTGTCTATAGAAAGTAAATGCCAAGAGGTGTGCGACTGCATCTTTCTTAAAGTTCAGAGGAATTTGTAAGTAATAAAGTGATATTTGGCAAATGTTCAATATAAATGTGAGTCCATGCTGAGCTCGTACTTCTATGTTTGAAGCTGTGTGACAGCTGTCGGAAAAGACAGAAGGATTGACACTTATTCAGTAAGTATGAAGAATAAAATAAGGGAAGAAAACATAGATTTTTGTCTTTATTTTGTATCCACATATACAGTAAATTATCATACAGTTACATCACATTTCTATTATGCAGCATTTTATTTTAACATTGTTATTACAAGCTGTGAGAATTCATCTCACACATCAAATGCGCTGCATTAGGAAGCAAATGAGAAAAATCTTTTTTAAATTGTTTTATTCCTAAACGAGTAAATGTTTTTCATGTTCAGATTTGTCTTCATAAGAAAATCCAACACATTGTATTGAGTTTTTTTAATTTTTGTATTTTTTCAGGATGTTCTTGATGTCGATCGTCACACCCAGAGGCCTCAGCCTTCTTGGAAAGACGATCTGGTAATTCTGTCTCTGTATTTGTCTCTACGTGTCCCTGTGATGGACTTGCAGCCGGTCCGAGGTGGACCCTTTGCAACAGTGATAGACACCAGCTCCCCGCGACCTGGAAAGGAAAAAAAAAAGGCGGGTAAAGAAAATGGATGGATGGGGAAAGATAAAATATTCTTTCAAACCATATCATCACTCTCTAAAAGTATAAGAAAGCAGATGACAGTTTCCTTATCTGCTTTTTTTCTGTGTAATGCATTCTAGTTATCTCTGACTGCAGGATGCAGTTTTCTCCACATGAGCCACAGGAGGGGAAACTGATTCACACTGAAACTAAGATCCATGGGAAGGGGTGACTTTCAGAGACCTTAAATCTCTTTCATCACGACTGGTGGTTACACTCACCCCCAAAGACAGCTATTATCAGCGCAGAAAGATTGCATTATGGTCGCCAAGAAGAAAAGTGACCCCTTTGATTATCTGCAGAGGGCTCTCTTGAAATTGTTTTTCATTAATGGCTCGGAGGAGGAAGATCAATGGTTTGGTTTATATGCATTGCTCGGCTTCCCTCAAGCCAGTGAGCTTCTCTGCCTCGCTGTCAGTTTTTCAGCTCTACCAGATGGTCAACAGTTTGTTGCAGCTCATAAAAATTTTAAAACATGACCTAGCAGAGCTGAATATTTCACTTTGGCATGCAGTATAATGTAGCACTCCCAACAGCCATCTGCTTTTCCTAATTCGGCTGGCGGTGGGTGCAGTTTCACGTGAGCGTAACTCAGATGGAGTCTTCTTGTTGAGAAAAATGATCATAAAAACAAATTAAAATCACTTAGTAGGAGTGATAGCAGCGGGAGCAATGCTTTGATACTAAATTAGCTGTTGATTCAAGTCGAACACAGTTTCTTAAGCAGAGTGGAAACCTTTTGACTTTCATAAATGACTTAACTTGAATGAAAATATACAGTATTACATCCATTATTATTTTTTTTTACTTTACAATAAGACTAGCTTTTGTTTTCCATTTTAATTGTGTTGTTTAAATGACAACCTTTTCGACATTTGGTCTGATTGCTCAAATGTACAACTTCTAGCTACTGGTTAAAATCAAAGAAATGATTTGGTTATGTCCTTTTCTTAGTGTCTTACAAAGATAAATGAAACAAACTGCTCGAGTGTGTAAAACTGTGCCAGTTCAAATCATGCAAATTCCTGTTTGAATTATAAAGGAGATCTAAGCAAGGCCATTAGCTGAGATAAGCTAATAAAATATTTTTTTACTACATGAACATGAGAATGATATTGATCTCATTTAACGCACAAAAATAGGGATATTTTTAATGAAATTTATACATGCTCTGCTGTATTTCTTATCTGCTATGAGAGAGTTTACTCCTGTAATACTTTAACAATGTTTCAAATTAGGTTGAGGCTATTTTACATCACACATGAAAGTGAACAATGTCCTCTCCTGTTTATTGCCTTTTAAAGAGATAAAAGTTTAGTTTCTCCTCAGATGAACGGTCATAAGGACGACATCCTTTGCGTGGTTCATTGTCCTCCGTCTTTCCTGGCCACCGGCAGCTGCGATGGAGAAATTATTGTGTGGAACCTGGTTTCTGGAACCATACAGTGTCGGTTTGTCGGCCCCCATGAAGCTGAAAACCAGAATACGGAAGGTGATTCTGAAGCTTCGGTGTGAGAAAATAACATGGTAAACAAGTTTGATGTGTTACAGTTACCATGTTTATCTTTTATTTTTCGAAATGCAGGACTGGATACGAGTGTTCCGAGCATCGTTTTCCCAAAGAACTTCAAACTGCCGCAGTTTTCCTCAAACGCAGCTCTTCTTCTTTCATCTGGGGTCAAAGGTCAGAATGTGACTTCCGCTGATTACAGCACCAGATTTCACTTTACATCTTTCCACAGTGTTTTCACCTCCCATTGTATTTATGTATGCCTTCGTTAAACAGGGAGCGTAAATCTCTGGAATATGGTCAGTGAGGAAAAACTTGTGGAGAGCTTCGAAATCGTGAGATTTATTAATTTATTTCATTTTAGATTTCTCACTTTCCCTTAAGGTATTGAGGAACAGCAGCTTTTTCTCCTTTCTCTCTAAAATTGCTGAATAAAGAATAATGTAGCCTTTTTCTTACTTTAATTGCAGGTAATTAATTCAAACTCTGAACTCTCTCTTGGTTTTGGGATAGGGTGAACTTGGAGTTATTTAGGGAACCCCCAAAGCTGAAATAAACTTTACATGTTTTTAAGAGGAGAAAGTATACTATTAAAACAGGAAGAAAAAAAGAAAAAAATAACAATACAAAACATGGATTTGTCATTGCAATTAGGCACTTTGATAAATGTGTTGTTACAGTGCGTGGGTCAGGTCTTTGTGATCTTCAGTCACTCTTTTAGACCCCCATATAATTTGTTTTCTGCTTTGATTTGAAATTTTTTTTTTTTTTTTTTTTTTTTTTGCAAAATTGGGATGTGCTGTCTGTCTGCAGGGCTACGCGATTATTTTATGATGATATGGAAGTAATGCAGCACTTGCTTCCTAATTTTCAACATTTGATGGCCTCTAAATCCTTAATGGGTCCGTTTAAAAAAAACTAAGTTTTGGAATCCATACATAGAGCCTTACGAGTAAAAAAAAAGGAAGAAGAAGAAGGAAAAACAGCTCTAAAATAGTCTCTACAATTAGTTTCTCATTAAGAGGCTCCAAAAAAAGCACTGCTTTCAAAACTGACTTACTACAATTTTCAGAAGTGTTAATTCCTAACACAACAACATGGTTCACTGGTTGCAAACATTCAGAATTCAGTGAGATGCCAATAGGAAATTTGTTCATTTTCTTGCAATCTGGGGTTTCTGTTCTCTCTCTGTCAGGTCACAGCCCTTTGCAACTTGTAGTCTAGATCAACAAGTGATAATTAGCAATAATATGAAGTAGTTGTCCTCAGATGACCTTTTTCAGTTTTTACAGTTCTTGAGGCATTTTGGTTTATTCTTCTGAAAATTACTTCAGTTCATTTTCTGCTTCAACTCTTTAATTAAGTCGAGGTCTGATTTTTGTTTCATTGCAACTCTTTGAGATTTTTTCTTCTTCTTCTTCTTCTTCTTCTTCTTCTTCTTCTTCTTCTTCTTCTTCTTCTTCTTCTTCTTCTTCTTCTTCTTCTTCTTCTTCTTCTTCTT